GCTTGGAGCAAGCAATAGACAAGAAAATCAAAATTATATCTAATACCTTAAAGGAATAACATGGCCTCCTATTCGAACTCTAAATGGATGAATTATGGGGATGATGATGTTCCCAAATTCCAATATGTTGGGCAAAATGAAATTAATGAAAGGATCAACCATTCAGAGAACATTGGACCATGCTCTAAAGACAAGGAAACCCAGTAAGTCACAGAGAGTGATGATAACAAAGAAAAAGCATTGGAATAGCACATTAAAGTAACTGAAATCCAAGTCATGGAAATTGACAATAAGAAAAATACATCAGTTTCTTATGAAAACAGTTTCTTATGAAAACAGGTATGTAATACATGACATGTTGTTTATACTTTTGTTTATTATTGATTTAACTATTTGCATTCACCATTGAATTTTCGTGACAATTAATTGCTAAAAATTGAATTTTGCCATAGTCAAGTTGGTGAAAAAATCTGTTCTTGTAAAGCACGAGGCTTCTGAAAACATTCAAAAGGTATATTATTCATAGGAATCATATTCTTTTTTTGTTTAATATCTGCTTCTTAATTATTTGGCCCAATGTCATTTTCTATGCATGTTCATGATGATGTAAGTTACTAAAGTAATGAGTAACTCATTGAAAGAAAACTTCACATTTGTAGTCAAAGGTGCATAAGGGATTAAGTACAACAAACCTCAGCTCATATATCCAAGCCTTTTTGGCTTAGAATTGATGTATGCAAATTGTTTATTTCGATAATACTAAAAGCAAAATGGCAAAAAAATTTCCATGTTATTTGATTATCTACTGACTATTTAGGAAAAAGAAATTTTAAAGGAAGCAAACTTGGAGAAGAAGCATCTTCAAGCACCATTGATAAAAACAATAACTTTTTAAGATTCGAAGGTGGAAGCTCAAGGAGAAAACATTAGAATGCACAAGTGAGTGCTTTAAGTTTAGACATGTTATGTAACATGGAATAAATAATTCCTAGACTAATTGTTTTCTTTCCCTATCTACAGAGAAATAAAAATTGTCTTGGGCAAACTGAAACGGTTTTGTGCACACGAAGGCATTGATAATAAATCAAATACATGAACGCTAAAGGATCAATCAGTAAGTTAATTTGCTTACAATTGAAAAAAAAAAAAAAAAAGGAAGAAAACTAAAGTCATAGACCCGCAAGCCGTAGCAAAACACATTTATTAAATTTAGTAATTTTGATTTCTTAAATGTGTGTTTCATATGATGTGTAAATTTTTTATCGTCTAACTATAAGTTTACTATTATTTTTTTTTTATTTTAAATCGAATTCAATATTTTTAAAATTACTTTTTAGGTTAATCATGTGATTAACCTAATATATATATATATATATATTTAAATTTTACTTCAAGATTTCATATATGTAAATTCACACTTCTTGAAACCTTATTTTATTTATTCTATTTTAAGTCAAATTCTAAATATTTATGATTGATTTTTTTTTAGATATATTATGTTGTGTATTCTTTTAATTTAATCTTTTTAATTTCTTGCAAGTATTCAAATTATAGGTTAGGTCTTGTCTTCATTTTTGTTTTTTTAATTTCTATTGAAATCAACATCTTATGTGTGTAGATTTTTTTCTCATACTTACATTAGTTAGATTTACATTAAAAATAAAAAAAAAATTAAAAATAAAGAAGTCCTACGGAAAACGCGGGTGTGATTCTGGTATATTATTATATTATTTTTCTTACCTTAATTGCTTCGATGTTATTAATTTTTATGGAATTAAAAAAATTAATTTTAATATATTTATATTAAATATTAAATTTTATAATTTTTAATATCAAAAAATAAAAAAATCATAAAAATGATTTTAAAATATAAAAATTTTAGACGTTAACAAATCATAATTTTAAAACATCTAAAAAATAGAAAAATAAAGTAAAACGGAGTATTAATTAGTTCTCTAATCTCTGTTGGCCAATTCAGCACACAGTACTTTTATTTATTATTCACATGTAACAGTTGGTTGATTCACACTCTGTACTTGTCCAATATGCATATGCAGAAAAGTAGGCAGCAATTCTACGCATTTGAAGAAATTGTTTAAAAAAAAATTTAGGCTTAAAATAAAACCTAAAAATACTTTTCAAGGTACTTTTTTAAATAGAATTTTAAGGCATTATTATATAAACCACACTTGGTACTCCACAATCTTTGCTGGATATTTTTATTAAGTTTTAGTTTTCTCAGCTGATCATTGCATTTATTTCTTTTATTTTAAAAAAATACTAATTTTGTTAATTCAATAGTCATTACACTAATTTCTCCTTTTTTTTTGGGGGGGGGGGTAAAGAAGATGAAAGAGAAATAATTAGTTAAATTTATACATCTTAATGTGATGCGTCAAAACAAATGTTTTTATAATAATGAAGAAATTAGTGTGATATGTTAGAATGATTAGACGTAATTAACAATTAAGATGGAGATGGGTTGATTGTGGTCAAAACATTTTAAATTTATTTATCAAATAAAAATAACTTGATTCATATACTTGATTTTAAATTTGATTATTTATATTGAAATTTGAATTCATATATATATAATGATAAAATAATAATTTTTTAATTTAAATAATCAAAATATATGTTAAAATAAAAAAATTTGATTAGATTTGTAAATTATTCAAACAACATGTTAAGAACCTCAAATTTGATTTGCTCTTTATTAATCGAATTGTTCAAACTACTACTCAATTCGATAATAATCAAATTAAATTTAAATTTTATTTAAAATAAATTCAAATAATTTATAAATATTGATATATTATTTACATTTCAAGAGGTTTGAAAAGACATAACACAACTTAATCAAATAGAATTACAAAGAAACACTTCTAAATATAAGGTTATAGTAGAAGAAATAGAATTGCAAAGAAACACTTCTAAATATAAGGTTATATTAGAAGATTTAGTAATATACTGTCAAGTAGGATTAAAGGGGTAAAATTTTGATATAAAATTTCGTCTTTTCAAATTTGTAAAAAAGCATTGAAGATCCTTATGTTAGCTTTATGTACAAATTGAGGGATCGTATAGAAAGTTACATAAGTTGATTTTTTGAATTGTTATCCGATAACAGATTTTCTCTGCTTCTTTGAATTAATGAAATACCATTTATAAAAAAAAAAAAATTCACATCTAATACCCACTTAAGGCTTATTTGTGTCTCCAAAAGTTGCTTTTTGGACGAAAAGGAACTATCAAACGAGTATTTTTTATTTCTATTTAAAAAAAAAAATAGCATTGCTGTATATCTTTTGATATATTGAGTAAAAAAATTTAAATGTAGTGGGAATATAATTATTTTTTTTGGTTGAAATAATTTTTTTGAAAAAATTAAAATTTTTTTATAATTTTTGAAAATTAAACTTTGCTATAAAAATTTTTGGCATTGTTAACAATAATTAATTACTTTCAACATCATATTTTTTTAGACACTTTTAACTCCTTACAGCAATGCCAAATACTATAAAAAAAATTCAATCCACATTTTTTCACAATAATTTCTCATAATACTTTTATGAATTTAAAAATTTTCAATCGCAAGAATAATGTCAAATTAAGTCTTAATAGTATATCTAAATTTAATTTATTTTAAAACTATACTCAATACTTTTGTTTTTTTTTTTTTTTTCTATTTTTATGCTTTTAGATATAAAAAGATGTAATAAAGAATTAAAGATTATTTTTATGATTTTAGATATAAATATACCTTTACATGTCTTTACCTTATATAAAAATTAAAAAATAAAAATTTCCCTATTTTTCTTTCACTATTTAATTAAATTTATCAATATTTTAAACCTAAAAAACACAATATTTTTAATAATTTTAAATTATTATTATTATTATTATTATTATTATTTAAACATTTTATTTTTTATAATATTAATATATTCAGACAACTAGAAATGTAACTAACACATTAATATTAAAAAAATATTTAGATTTTGTTAATATAAAATTCGAATTCAACTCAATTATTGTCGAATTAAGTTGAGCAATTTGACTTATTAAGCTATTCTTGTTTGAGTATGTTAATGTCTAATTTAAGTAATTCACTAATTTAATCAAAATTTTATATTTTAATATATTTTTTTACCATTTTAATTAAAAAATTATTATTTTATTTTATATGAATTCAAGCTTAAATTTAAATTTTAATATAAATAATTTAAATTTAAAATTAAACATAAAAATCGAGTTTATTTTTAATTTGATAAATAAAATTAATTTAATAAATTTAAATAATTTAATTTTTATTTCAAATCAAATTTAAAAATTAAAATTTGATTGAATTTAATCAAATCAAAATCAATTTTAATTTTAATATATAAACCATTAATTAAAAATATATTTAAATGATAGCTCAAATTAAATTTTAATATAAATAATTTAATTTAAAATTAAAATAAAAATCGATTTCTAATTAATGATAAATAAATTTAATTAATAAATAGAATAATTTAATTTTAACTTTCATAATCAATTTAAAAAAATTATTGATAATAAAAATCAAATCAAATTTTTATATTTTAATATATATTTTTACCATTTAATTAAAAAATTATTATTTTATTTTATATGAATTCAAGCTCAAATTTAAATTTTAATATAAATAATTTAAATTTAAAATTAAACATAAAAATCGAGTTTATTTTTAATTTGATAAATGAAATTAATTTAATAAATTTAAATAATTTAATTTTTATTTCAAATCAAATTTAAAAATTAAAATTTGATTGAATTTAAATCAAATTTTAAATTAAACTCAAATTCAAGCTTTACTTTGTTCGGCTCAAATTTCAAGCAACCAATTACGGTCGACTATAGTTCTACAGGCAACCAACAAGAAAATATTGCAAGAAAAGTTAAAAAAAAAAAAAAAAAAAGGCATTCGGATGGATAAGTGGCAATCACATCGTCCAATAAAATGAGGGGTGAAATGCCAAACATCACAGCACGGGAACCATTCACTTTGTCTGATTTATTATAAGATAAACTGAACCATCCACGCTTTCGACCTCTCTTTACCCTCCTCAGAGACAGTTTCATTCATTTTGAAAAGGGAAGTGAATCAACGTCAAGTTCTCGATTGAAATGGGAATTTACTCGGAGGCCCATATTTGCCAGTGTTTTAGCCGCTTGGTCACCCAAAAACGAAACTCCGTCGTTACAATCAGCTGCGGTCGCCAGAAAACAGGCCAGCAGTTGGTCGAGTGCGTGCTGAGTCTGGCTCGTAGCCTGCTCCAACTGGGCCTCCAAAACGGTGATGTTGTTGCAATCTCTGCTTTCAACAGGTCCTTTATATAATTGCCTAAATCTTTTTTTCCGGAAAGTTTCAAGTTCAAATTCGACGCACTTCTTTTTTTTTTTTTTTTTCATTTTCTCAATGGCCGGAATACACCGAAACTGTCCGGAAATGTTTTTTTTTTTTTTTATTGCTGCCAAATGCAGTCTGTTATTATGTTTTGTTGACCATGTTAGATTCGGAATGTTATTTTTGGTTTTGATGCAAAACGCATTGACATTAGCATGCATTATTGAAGACAACATATTATATGCATTACTGTCCATTTATTCGGATTTTAAATCAAAATGAAGAGGTGCTTCAATTTTTTATTATGGCCTACCCCACACATAAAACAAAAACATTTGTACGTAGTTAAAATAAATCCCATGTGAAACCAAAGCTTAATAAAAGTGGCGAGAGTGGCATATGATATCAAACATCTGCAATCTATTCTTAGATCTCCAGGTTACGATTTATCGATTTCCTTTCTTCAAAAAAAACCATCCCATGTGGGTTTGTCATAAAACCTAATAATAATATGAAACTAAGTTTGGATTTTGCACATAATGTGTACGTGTTTGTGTTTGTGTTGTAGTTGTAGTTGTGCAACTCAATCATGAAAAAAAAAATTTGGGTTGCTCTGCCCCAAGCTGCAAGTAATTGACCCATTTAATTAATTGAGTCAACTTAATCTCTATATTTGTTTATTTGAATTGCTAGTATTTAAAGTTTATGAATTAAATATTGTTGATTATGTTTAAACATGCAAATCATGCCATGTTTTGTCAGACTTTTAAGACGACCTTTTTTTTTTATTACCCAAGTTATTCTATTAATTATTTGTCATTTAATAGATAGGTTGTGTTTAGTTTTAGGGATTCTTCACAAGATTATTCATCTTTTTGTGTTAGTCACTTTTTTTTCTTTGTTTTTGTATAATACGATCATATTATGATGCAACATGAATTGCCACCCCTAACCCCATACATTAATGTAGGATTTATCTTTTTCTTTTAAATTTTAGTTTAGCTGTGAATTGTAGATCGGATTTTCGGTAAAAATATATCCATATCACGATCAATTAGAAAAAACAAGTGACACAAAACAAATGAAATGAAACATTTTTTTCTTTCTGAAGTCCTTGAGTAGGAAGGTGAAGAAAGTGAGATGACCAAGTAAGAAGCTATAGGAAGTGAGATTTAGGTATTAAAAGTTGGCAGTAGGACCATGGAACTAGGAACTAGGGACCGGGCAGTAGGAAAAAGGATCAAGAGTGGGACCTTAAATTGAAATTAAGAGAAGGGGTTGGAAATAGGCGTGAGACATAGTGCTCTGGATGGTGAGCAAGGACGGATTCAGAATTTATGTTTAGTGAGGAAGACTAATATAGATAATATTAAATATATAAACATATAAATATAAATTAACTTAAATGCATAAAATATTATTTTGTTTATATACAAAGATAATATATTATAATTATTTTTTATGGGTTTTTCAGTGCGAAAATAAAATTTTCAAATATTATCTCTTTCATTGAGATAATAGTCCAAAATATTTTTTCATAATTTTGGATCCAATAAAAATTATTTATATCTAATTAAATATGAACTTATTTTGTAAAATGTTGTGTCTCATTATTATATATTTCGGATGATTTTTTCAAAACTGACTTTCTCTTAAAATATTTTTTAACAACTAATTAAATTAGATAATTTAGTTTATATAATTTCTAAGAAATAGGAGGATAATGTTGTAGTTTATATTAGATATTGAAATGTTATTATGCAAACAAAATCAACATGCTTATTTTATTATGTATTTTGAATTTTAATTAAATAATAAAATTTTATAAATAAAAAATAATTTCATAAAAATAAATTATTTCATTGATCAACTTAAGAAAGTATAATATTCTTCTATCTTAATCCATTTATAATATAAATATAAATATAAATAAATCATAAATTAAGCCCCAAATCAAATTATTTTACCAATATAAAAAATTTGAATATTAAACAAATATTCTATCATATAAACAAATGATAATAAATAAAAAAATCCAAAAAAAAGTTATTATTTAAATATATTGATGAAAGAAAAAAATGTTCACCCCTTAATTTGTTTATTTAGTTTATTGGCTTTTCTTTGTCTTCTTATTATTTATCTACTTCTATTCTTTATATACAGTAATTTTTACTGGTTTAATCAAAGAGAAAAATTATAGGTGAAGTAGAAAGATCACTTTTTATGGGATTTTTATTCGTTTTTAAGTGAAAAGGATGGGCCTTGAATAAAAACTTATTATAAACGTTTATTTTATTTATATTTATACATGTGACCTATTATTTTTGTAAAATAACTTATTTATATTACAATTATAGTTTTATTTTTTCAAATATTTATAAAAATATCATATATATTTTATATTTTTTTCATTTTTAGTGAGAACAAATTATAAAAGAATTAAATTTTTTTAAGGACTATCATAATAATTTCTAAAGAATAGTAAGATCTAAGTGGGGGCAGCTGCCGCGACTGCCCCCATTGTAGATCCGTCCCTGATGGTGAGCTTGTTATTGTTCTCAGAGATAAGCTGCAGCTGCAAAGTGCTATACTTATAGGCTACTGGGTGCAACAAATAAAATTGTGCCAACTTAGTTTATATTAAAGACATTCACAAGAACTCTAACGTGACTGGGCTGTTATTAGGAGGATGTGAAGAAAGGGCGAAAGTAGCGTCCTGTGTGGAAGATGTCACATAGATGAGTTGCAATCATATACTTCCAGTAAGTTTAAGTGGGAGACCTTTAACCATCTTCAAATCTGAGCCACCAAGTCAAGATATCTACAACATTCCAAAGAGACATAGAGTTAACCCAAAAAACCATGTCCTTGGTTGTGGGATAGAATCACCATGCTTGAATTTCATAACAGACTTCTATTTTTGCTACCTGCAACGCATGCTCAAGAACAAGTTTATCCTGGCAAATATACATTTGAGCGAACATAGGTATCTACATACACCTCTATTCACCAGGTCATAAATTCTCAATCAATAGAATTTCGAGGGAATCATAATTGAATTTGAGTCCAAAATTTCTAAAATATTGTTGGTCCAAAACATAGTGGAGTTCTGAATGTTTATAAATATTATTTATTTGCTTTGATTTGTTGACATTAAATCCATTCTGTTCCAGTGATTGGTATCTAGAGTGGCTACTAGCTGTTGCATATGTTGGAGGCATAATTGCTCCTTTGAATTATCGATGGGTTAGTATCTCAGTTTCTTTAACTAGCTTGCTTTTAACTGTTTTCTATTTCAATTATTGAGTGTCTCTATAATTTGTTTAAGAAAAGAAGAAAGATTTTCATTTTAAATGAAGGTTTTTTGGGATCTTCATGAAAATTTAGTGTCCAAACTTTTTTATTGATATTCTTGTGCTGGACAATTTTTTAACTATTAGCTGGAATTGCAGCCACAATAGTTTCAAGTTTCTTTAGGAGTATGGTGGTTTGTTGGTTTCATATTTTGATATGTGCAACTAGGGAATGGTTCATAAATATAACGTCGAATTTTCAGACTGAGGTTGAATGAGTTTATCATAAGATTTTTCTTGAGTGTGAGATATTGTCTGTTATGAAAACTTGTCTGATTTCTCGCTCTGCATTGCCCTTTCAAAATATAGAGCTTTGAAGAGGCAAGAATTGCAATGGTAACTACAAGGCCAAAAATGTTGGTGACAGATGAGAGCTGTGACTACTGGCATTCTGCACTCCAGAGTGATGGTATACTGTCTTTAAGGTGGCATGTCTCATTGAGCCCCCCTTCCTCAGATTTTATAAACAAATACAACAGTATGTATTTTATCTTCACATCTTAATGTCGTATAAAATGAAGTCAGAATTCGGGATTTATCCATAGTATCATTGGCCTCATTTTTCCAGTATTAACCATGGCAATGCTTGTGGAGCAATCTTTAAGATCTGGATCTATGAATTACTCATTTGCACCTGAGGGTGCTGTTGTAATATGCTTCACTTCAGGTATGCATTTTATATATAATTTTTCTTAAAGCTTCACTAATGTTTAATATGATTGTAACCTTAAGGAGGAACATCATCAGGCAGTCAATGGAAACACCAAAAAAGAAGGGCAGTAATGGGTGGAGAAGAAAATTCCTTCCCCTTTATCTATGCATTTTTCTATTATAAAATTTCTCTTTGACTGGCTCCAGGGAAAATTTCCAAGATAAACTATTGTTGCACATAATTTAGTAATCATTGCCTCAAATCCTGCATGTAAGAGTTCTGCTCTACTCCTTTTTTGCATCATTCAAGAGTGTATATGATTAGGGTTTTATCCATACTAATTATGACATGAAAGAAAGATTCTGGAAGGTCTGATCTATATACGTGCCTACCTACCTACCATTTAGTATTTTCAAATAAAGTGGCTACTTTTAAGACTTAATCTTCTCCCGTGTTTCTCAAACTAGGGCTTCTATAAGACCTGCACATAATGGCCCCTTTTCTACCCTTTTTAAACAGATGATCAACTGTCCAAATTTCTGCAATGAATAAGCCAGTAAATTTGAGTCACAACAAAGACATATTGAGATAACAGTATCAAAGTTCTATTTAGAGCTTAAGTTTTGCATTAAGCCTATAAAAAGCTTGGTACAACTTCTTATATTTTAACGATTTGTGCTGATAATATATAGGGAGGGTGGAATCCAATTGGCCTGTTAGATTTTTTATATTTGGTAACTTTTTCCTGAACGTTGGAGAAAATGTGGTGGTGTAATGCATTATGCACATTATTTCTTGGTCGAGAATATCAATCTTTATTTGATATTGAGCAATCAATAATAGCTTCTAAGCACTATTTGTACTCTAAGTTTTCCCTCTTACATACATTTGTTAAATTAAAGCAAAGAAGAAAGAAAACATGCATCTTAACTATAAATTAAGTGTAAAATTTTGCTTTTAATTTCTTCATACATCCATGCATATGCCAAAAAAAATCTTAGCCCTTGGTTTTCATTTTTCTTGGTTATTTATAGGAACTACTGGGAAGCCAAAGGGAGTTGTCATAAGCCATACAGCTTTAATTGTACAATCCCTGTCAAAAGTTGCAATTGTTGGTTACAGTGAGGATGATGTATGCCTTTCATCTAGATATACGTTTATTTGTTTGACAGTAATTAGAAGGATATGATTGAAAAGGTAAAATAATTCAAGTATGGTTGTTCCAAAGTGGACTTACATGATCTGGATGGAATCATACAGCTCAATGAACAATGCATTCTAGTTTATTTTGGTTTATCATTTTCCTTTGGTCCCACCAACGTTTAAATCCTTTATTGTCTGGTTATTTCCAGGTTTATTTGCATGCTGCTCCCTTGTGCCACATTGGTGGCTTGTCCTCGGCCATGGCCATGCTAATGGTAGGAGCTTGTCATGTCTTTATACCCAAGTTTGAAGCTACACTAGCCCTTGAAGCCATAGAACGACACCATGTGACTTCTCTAATCACTGTCCCTGCAATAATGGCTGATCTTATCTCGTCAATCAGGTGAATAATATAATTATTATGACATGAAATGATAATGATAATCAAAATTTATTTGGTGGGGCCTCTTTGAGACGTTGATTATCTTCCTTTTTCCCCTCAAAATAGGTTAGAGAAATTATAATGAAATGGCTCTGTATAGATATTCATTGTACATATATTGCCCAAATTACTCAATATTTACATAGATGCCCTAGGATTTCGTGAGGAGCTGCCGTAGCCTCTCTTTTATATTTCATTTTTCCCCAGGAGAAGGTCTTATTTAAATACCCATGCATTTTCCTTGTGAATGCTTCATGCTAATTCCAAGCCTGAAGTATGTAAATTTTGATCTAGAAAATGTTGCTCCTACTTAAGTTTTACCATATGGTTGTTTGTTCTGTAATATTTTTTAAGGCTGAAGCAAAGTTGGAAGGGAAGAGACAATGTGAAGAAGATATTAAATGGAGGAGGAGGCCTATCACACAACCTTATTAAAGATGCAACCAAGTTCTTCCCAAGAGCAAAACTTCTCTCAGCTTATGGTCAGTCTAACTTGTTCAATTTTGTTTCTTTTAGTATGTCGTGATATATTCTACTCCATTGATTGCAGCCAGAAGCTAAGTTTTATGGCTAGAAAGGTGGCAATACTTCTTGCATTCAATAATAATAGATGGAAATTGAAAGTATGATTCATAAAGTTGCATATAGTTTCTTTTGGCATTCTAGCTCTCTTTGATTGACATATATATTTGAAATTTAGTAGCACAGGCATCAAGTACACTATGGCTTTCGCAATTAACTTGTGATTAGTGAACTTAGACATGAAGAGCGAGCAAGTCAGAGTTATTTGTGTGTCAAGAATCAAGATGAGCTTGTGTCCATCTTTTCTAAGTTTACTCACCAGTGTGGCAAGCTTAGGATTCCAACTAAATAAAATACCAGCTAGCTTGCATCTATGAAAAGCTTTAATATGATCTGTTCTGCTAAATTCCATGTATTTGATTTAAAAACAAGAATAGGTCATCATGATGAAAACCTCTGTCAGAGTGTTAGTTATTATGAAGTATTTGCCAGTAGAGTTCTAAACAAGATCACTAAGAAGACTGAAAGAAGTATCTAGATCTGAGTTTTGTTGGCAACTTTCATTAAGTTATGCTTAACTTTAGCCAACTTTGAATGTGAACTAAATTCTTCTTGATAAGGTTCATATGAGCTTTTGTAAGCTATTCCTAGTTTTGTGGATGAAGCTATTTTACCAGTTCGAGTACTGTCATATGTGAACATGCTAAGCTGAAATTCGCCTTAACGAGCTGCTGCATGAAGCTACACAAGCTATAATTTATAGGTTACCTTGTGGTAGTTCACAGTTTGTCCAAGTGAGAATAATTGTTTTTTATAGTATTCTGAGGACAACAAGGGATATGTAAACTTAAATTAATACGCATGTTTTAGTAACTAAAATTTTGGATATTCCTTATGTTTGAAACATTCTCGATCAAATTCTCAATTTGTTAAGGGATGACGGAAACTTGTTCTTCTCTAACCTTCACGACCCTCTTTGAGCCAATGCTTGAGGCCTCTGGTACGTCACTGCAGATGCTTGAAAAAACAAATTCAAGTCCAGTCAAATCACAAGGTGTTAGTGTTGGCAAGCCTGCTCCACATGTTGAAATAAAGATATGCATGGATGGCTCTTCTCATGTTGGAAGAGTTCTAACTAGAGGTCCACATGTAATGCTAAGATACTGGGATCAAATTCCTGAGAAGGCATCAAATTCTACAGAAGCTTGGCTAGACACCGGTGACATTGGGCTTATTGATGACCATGGTAACATATGGCTTGTTGGACGAACAAATGGTCGAATCAAAAGTGGAGGAGAAAGTATCTACCCTGAAGAGGTAAGCATCTATATAGCTTCATATCATTTACTGATCTACTTAGAATATGTTCTTTGTAATTACCTTAAAATGTTTATTCGATTGGTCATATAGGTGGAGGTGGTGCTAATACAACATCCAGGAGTTCTTTCTTCCATTGTTGTTGGAATTCCTGATTCTCGCCTAACAGAGATGGTTGTCGCATGTATTCAATTAAGAGAGAATTGGCAATGGTCCTATAACAGTTCTAAACATTTGTTTCAAAGCAACGACCTTTTCCTGTCTAGTGAGATTCTTCACTATTATTGTAGAGAAAAGAATTTAACCAGGTATTGCTCTGCTAAACAATTTCAAACCGCATACAAAAACTCTCATTTTCCTTCAGTTTTAGTTGATGAATACGGTTTGTTCACTATTCCTTTCCTACTCTTTTCAGGTTTAAAATACCAAAGAAATTTATTTTATGGAGGATCCCATTCCCACAAACAAGCACCGGAAAGATAAGAAGAGACCAAGTTAGAAGAGAAGTTATGTCCCAGCTACAATCTTTGGCTAGCCATCTTTGACACTTTATTTCAGGTATTCATTTTTTTTTGGTCAATAAAACTCATGTATTTACATATATTTCATGACCATGATAAATAAGTTGGGTGGTAAAAGAGTATGCATTGATTTGTCCCTACTTCCTAGCAGAGCGCATTGCTCAACGTTTTCTTTTTTCCTTCAAAAGGTCAGGCTTCACAAGCCAAAGATTCTATTCAGTTTAGCTGACATTTTCAGCAACTGCATTAATTTAAATTTATATAGAGATTAAAAATAAAAGGTAAAATTTTGTCAAAGGTTTTATATTTTATAAAATTTAAAATTTAATCACTGTATTATAATTTATACAAATTTAAATTTTGTATTATTTTAATTTAATAATTTTAATTCAATCATTAATTTCATTCATTTTTTATTGTAAAAAATATTAACATGACCGTTCACTTAATGATATAAATGTTGATTTTGTTAACATAATGTTAACTTGTTGACGTTGAATAAATTAATTAATTGATGAATAAAACATTACAATCAAATTGATAAATATATTAAATATAATTATTTGGACAAATGGGGAATTGTCATTTTTTTTTCTTTCAAAATTTATTGATTTGGGAAGGGGCGATTGGATAAAACTTCATTTATAGCTTCTAATTAGAAAATTTACCAGGTTACAACCAAGATCATAGTTTTTTATTTTAAAATAATATTAATTATTTAAATTTAATTATACTTATTTCTTTATTTATGTGTGAAAATGTAAAAATATGTCAATTACAATATTTTCAAATTTTTCATTTTAGAATCTTTTAAAAACTAATTTTTAATAAATAATAAGCAAATATGTTTTAGGAAGCACTATAAAAAAAAAAGATTTTCTTTCGGTTTTTTAGAGATTTTTTTTTGTTTTCTTTTAATAAAATAAAAAAAGAGATAAAAGGCCTCATTTAATTAGACCATCATTTAACCCAAAATATTATTTGAATGACTACTTTTTATATTTAGAAAATGTCGTCATTTTAATTTTTAATTAAATAAAAAATAAATATAATTATAAAGACCTAATTACTTGACAAATGTCAAGCAATAAAGCCATCAAATAAAGCTAATAAATAGTAAAATACCCAGAGATTACTTTTAATTTAGTAGAGTGGTTCTTCCACTTCGCATGAGTAACTTTTTTTATTTTGATAAATATATTAAATTTTTATTAATGATATGTAATAATAGTAATAAAAAAAGCATGATAATTATTTTAAAATATGACTTTTTAAATTAAAAATATATATAATGTATATATTCAATTAACTGTTTTATTTTATTTTATTTTGTATTCTTACATTTTATTTTTAAAGTAATTTGTTCATTCATAAATTTTCTATTATTTTTTTAACAAATACATACTTTTTACATGACAAATAAAAGCAAAAAATATACCTCACAAACATATGAGTTAAACTCGAAAAAGAGGGTTTGCTATTTGCAATCCAACATTTACTCAACACACCCCATTATTTTTAACATCCTATTTTTAACTTATCCCTACATTCAAAACTAAAATTTACTAAAATATCACAACACCCCATCTCTTCTCCTTCACACCCCATCTTTTCTCTCTTTTGTCAACCGTAAACTTTAAAAATTTAAAGCTAAATTCAAGAGAAAACTCATCTATCTAACGTGTTTAGTTACGTAAAATTTAAGATTTAAGTGTTTTGATATAATTCAAAACTTCCAAAAATTGATTTTCAAAATCTCTTAAAGGTTTTTTAAAATGGATGTTAGAGGTCTTTAAAAGCTTTTGGAATTTGATGTTTGAAAGCCTTAAAGAGCTTTCGGAAATGAATTTTCGAAAATTCTTAAAGGCTTTCATATATCAATTTTTGAAAATCAACTTACCCAATCGTCATCTCCAAATCTTCATTGTTGCAGTAATTTTTCTCAAGTTTACTTTTCATTTTGGTAATATACAAGATATTACAAATTTTGATCATGAATTTTGATAATAATACGACTTGTTGCTGAAAAGAAGAATGAGAGAAGAGAGCTATATGCTAGTATGGAAAAGAGAAAAAAGAAAAGAAAAAAATGTGTGAAAAATAAAAAATAATTGATTGATGGATATTTAAGTAATTTTATTAAAAGTTAAATTTGTAATAAATTTTTTTGGTATATTGAATAATTCTTAGGATGCAAATAGAACCCTTCATCCAAAAATGATGGCTCTAAGTTATTAGGCCTAATTTTCAAATGGATCAAGTTGGTTTAGGCTTGACCCAATTCACTTTTTCTTTTTAATTTTTTTGCATTTCCTTATACTCCCTAAACTACATCATTTTGTTATTTAACATAAACTTGTTTTGAAAACCCAACCTCTTTCTCTTTCTTTCCTCTTCTTTTTACTTTTGTTGTTCATTTCTTCTTAAAATCCTAATGTTGCAGCCTTTCACTCTCTTTTCTATTAATCAAATACTAGTCGAACACTTAAGAATTTTTCTTCTCCATCTTTCTTATAATTTCACCAATTATTTACCTAAGAAACCTTTAAAATCTTAGATCTAAACTCACATTCCCTATAGTTATTGTCATCACCGAAAACCATTGATTTTCAACTTAAAATATCTAAAAGCATCTTATATCCATTTCTCTATCTTTATTCCTTATATACATTACCTAATCTAAAAGCTAAAAAGCTCATATCTTTGTTATTTTTGCTATCTTTTTCTTCAGTAATTCTTTTCTTATCTTTTTCAGTAATGTGTTACTTATTGTTATATATTACTTATTTATGTAGATTTTTTGTCACTTTTGTGTGATTGTATTATAATTTTTGAAAAAATTTATGATTTAGGGAAATTTTTATTGTCTGCTGATTTATAATGAGTTAGGAGACATTTTTTATTTTAAAATTTAATTTTACTAAAAATTTCAAATTTGTTGATATTTTATTTTTTATTTTTATGTTGTGTTTTTTTGGAAGACATGATTTTAAAAATTCACTTTTGAAAAAAAATTCAAATATTTTTTATATGTAGTGGTTTTTTTTTTTTTAAGAGATGAATTATTTGAAAATTATTCTTGAATTTTTTTAAAAAATTTATATCTTTTTATTTTGTTGGTTTTTTTTAAATATAAGCTTTTGAATTAAAAATGAAAGAGATAGAATTTTTTAAAAGAATTAAAGTTTTAATTAAGTGATATCTAGTAAATTTCGATTTGTATTTTAATTGAGGGAGATTAGTTTCTATAAATTGTAAAGATTGTAGATGAAAACCGTATGTCGACTAGAGTCTAGCCACGTATATGACCAATTTTTGAATTCACATTTTTCATATATGGTTTGTTTATTTATTTGAGTTGTCGGTGCTTACGCCTTATTCTGTAACATTATTTATACCTTTTAATTTATAGATGGAAACAACATTTTGGCTAGTGTCTAGCCACATGATTGACTGAATTTTTACGTTCACATTTATATATAAAACAATTATATTCCCATTTCAATCATTTAATGTCCAATAGATAATTGCATAAAAGACTATTACTAGCTATGCAAAAGACCTCATCTATAAGATACAAGCTATATTAGGTTGCATCCAAAACACCAATTTCTCCATCTCTTTTAGATTCCTCATACAGTCAGATTGTTTTGAGAAGTCTTAATTTTTTTTATGGTACCTTTGCCAACTCTACACTATTGCTATTGAATTTAGAGTGTCAAAACTCCAATAGGCAACTTTCAACATACTCAATGCAAAATTCTTCAACCCAAAAAACATTGAGCTCACTAAGTTCTTCAAGTGGTTTAATCCAATTAGAAAATGGTTTCAATTCACTAGAAATGTTCCATTGCACTACCATGTCATTTTCATGTTTCACAAACTTTGCCAAGTATATAAAGATGGTTTTTCATTTTCCAACCACACTTAGATATTTATGTATGCAATCCTCACTCCTTATACAAATCCATATTCTTATATTTTGATGAGTACAAACTCCTTCTTAAAAGGCTTTACAAGATCAATCATATCTCTCAGATTCCTGAAAAACTTTCTCCTTTAAAAAAAGAATCATGATGGTGATACCCTCTAGAATATATCCTAAAACTACACAGTGACCTTAACAAATGGACTCTTAAACTTTTTTAAAAAAATTGGTAGAGTGACCTGTCTTAAAGACTCAAAAATTTTGATCTTGTTTACCTTGCAAAATTAGCATAGCTTCCAACAAACCCTTGTTGGCAGGACCAAGGAAATGTTTCAAAAATAAAAAAAGATTTGAATCCAGAATGCATAATTAGCTATTTCAGGATAGCAATTAGGATTAAGCAAAAATTGAAAAAAAGTTATTTCAATGGGTAGACAACTATTTATCTATACAATACCTTGAAGATTTTGAAGAATGATGCTGATTCAGTCAAAAATTTTGTCATGCTGCTAAAACCAGAAGAAATTCCCTATTCTAGTCTAAAATTATGTATACTTATGTGTGATTATTTCAAAATGCTTTGTAGATTACTCTAAAGACTACAAGACAAAAATTGATGTTGACACATCAACTCAAGCTTTGTTTTCGTCAACATCAACTTTATTTCTATTTTATGTTTTGTCAACTTTATGTTTTGTAAGGTCATGCTTTAAGTTGTTTTTAAAGTCAAGTCTACTTTATTAAAATTACTTTGATAAAGGAAAATGAATCTTACTTTTACTTTATTAAAGGCACTTTATTAAAGTCATTATAAGTCTAGTTGATTGCTTTATGGACCCAATGCCATTATTATATGTCCTATTTATTTACTTTTTCCTCCTACATAAGTTTGTAACTCCTTCTTGGATAAGCTAAGTTCTCTTTCCCAGAGAAGGCAACGATAGTCTAACTTCATCAAGTAGTTGTTTGTAAGAAAATCTCTTATAATATAAATATGTTTTTCTAAAATCTCTTCTCTCTTTTTGGTGATTTCTTCTTCTTTCTTTAGTTGTTAGGTTTAAAATCAAAAATATTTTTCTATATCATAGTTTGTAGTGATACAAGTTAGTATACTTTGCAGTTGCTACAATATTATTGATTCTTTTACATAAAAAAGCCTTGTGAATTGTCAAACAGACCATTGATCCATTTAGCCAAAAAAAATTATTGTACTAAGGAATACTAAAGTAGGCGACCATAGTGAAAAGTATGTCTCCATAAAAGTCAGGCCATCAATTCGACATTATGTCAAAAAGGTACCTAGTCTTGAACAACAGCTAGAATACTTTTATTATATGTCTAAACTATGGACTGCTTATGTTTGGTCTTCCCTTCATGCGAGCAACCGATCTTATCTATTTTGGTATCAAAGCGCAACTCCATATAGAATTCTCGTTTTGTTTTATTTCTAACACCGAGTTGGATAGGATAAGCCAAAAGAGTTTTCTTTCTCATGGATTTATCAAAAGTTAGCAGTTTGTAATCGTCTACTTCTAGATCTTCATTTAGTTTACCTTCTCTTGTAATTAGAAAGTCTTATTCTTGTAAGTTAGATTTCTTGTATGAAATTAATTATCTTTCAAAAAAACAAAAAAGTCCATATCATTTAACACATCACTTTTTAAAATTTTTCAAAAAAAATTGAAAACTTAAATATTCATTTGCCTAAAAATTTATTCTGCGATTTTTCAATATAAAGTGAACCATAATACTTTGAAAATTTTCACTACAGGTTAAGCAACATCAATAATATTTAACTCTTTCAAAAAAATCGAGAACTCATGTTAAGCTAAGAACTCTAAGTCTGCTTGGGTGATTCATGCCTACTACTTTCTATTAATCATTCTTTATCTTTGTTTTTTTTTTTTTTTCAAAAAATAAAACTTCAAGCTTCATTAAGACAAAATATTGGACATGTTATGGATATTGGTAGAAAACAACTATAACTAGATAAAAAAAAAAATTAGTTCCACATCAATCAAAGACATAATACCATGAAAAAAAAAAAGTTGCAGCCCATGCATTGATATTTGCATAGAAAATGGATTCATGAATTAAAAGTTGATTTATTTAAAAATAGATTAAAGATTAAAGATTTATTTAAATATAATAATAATATAAGAATTTATCTTAAGTAAAATCGTAAAGTTTAAAGATTTTTTATTATTTTAGTTATCATTAATTAAGATTAAATATGATGAAATTCATCATCATTTAAATCGCTTACAATTAAGAAGAAAATGATATATAATCAAAGTTGATATTGGTTGATTTTGACATTTGATTTTAAAAGAATCAATTAAAATTATATCTTTTTAAATTTAAAATATTTTATTATATTTATTGAATTTAAAACTATATACAAGCAATATATTTATAAAAATAAAATCTCTTATAATTATAAATTTTATTAATTCATAAATCTATTAATTAATTTAATTTTCATAATAAATTCTCAAATATGTGAAGTTTTGGAAAAAAAATTATTTATAAGCGATGATAACTAGTACTATCACAAAAATTAAGAAAGAATTATCTTAAAATTTTGACAAAAACATAAAAAGTTTAAGATTATTAAAATAAAGACAAGAATATATATATATATATCTACATTTATTTAAAAAAAAACCTTAATAGCAATTTTATAGCTTTGTAAAAGTGATTGACAAGTGACAATCTAAATGATTAAGCAAATTTTCCATTGAAAATGATCACAAATATATATAATTGAAATAATGAGAAAAGGGGTTGAAGGCTATAAAAAGAAAACTAATAAGTGTTTATTTTTCTTATCAACTACATCTTTTTCAAACCCCTTCCTCTACCCCACTTATGTTGCTGCTTTTTTTTTTCATTTTTCAGATGAAATTTTGTTCCATAGCAGGAAAGGAAACAAGCAACTCTTTTGAAGCTACAATTGGTTTATAGTACACTTCAACCTAAGGTGATATTGGAAAGATTGATGAAAATAAATTTTAATCAAATTATTTTGAGTTTTTTGAATCAAATTTAATGGTATACAAATTATTTGAGTCTTATTTTTAAGCCTACAGCATGACGTCTTATCTGTTCAAATTTTAGAGTCTAACATAATAATTTACTCAAATATTGATGTATATTCTAGTTTAAAAGCAATAATTTAATTGGATTAGTTTATCCTGGCTTGTTCTTTTGGGTTGAAAGTAACCATTAATTGATGTTCTACTTATTGTTGTTTTGTATTCTACTTATTTATTTATTTCTATCATTCTTTCAAGGCAAGTTGGATTTTTTACTGATGTTTTGATGGCAATGGTTTTACACAAATCATGGGATTGCTATGCTTGTTTGAAATTGTAAATGATATCCTATTACGTGCTTGAAGAAAGGCAAATACATAAATGAATTCATGATTTTACTGTTTTCTGTTTCTTTTGTTGTACATTAATCTTTGCATTTATTTAAATCATGGAAAAACCTTGACATTCTATAGTAAAATTTTGAGAACCACCATCATTGAATGATGTGGACCCCGAATTGATAAACCAAAAAATCAAGTTAGGAACTAAGCTTTTTGCTGTGCTGATATCTTTGGAAATCCACTATTACGCTTAAATGGTTATGAAAGTTGCAGATACTATTATCATCTTACCATCTTTGGAGTAAATTAGAGTAATTTTCTATTTTTGATTTAATTATGCTTTCTTATGAATCTTATCAAAAGCTTTAATGCTCCGTGAAATAAATTATTTTATGGGATTATTAATTAAAATTCAAACTTTACGTTCTGCAATTAAATCTCTTATTTCTTACTAAGGAATGCTTAAACATGTTTATATCCATTTATTGGGCTTTTGCAAATGTCAAATAGTACCATAACTTGATAAAGTCTTTCTCTTATTTCCTAAAATCTTATAAGCCAAAAGATGACAAAGCTAAATTCCCATAGGAAATTACCAAAGTAGTGGTAATGTGCTAATTATGAACTTTTTTACAGATTTATCTATTGTTTGTTAAACTTACAATTAAATCTTAATTGTTTATTGCCATGAATGTGCATAGGGTTGTCTACATCAGCTTTTTTAACCAGCTAGAGATGCAAAATTGAAATGTGCATGGGATCCCACATGTATTGCATCAAACTAAGAGAAAATCTTGTCACTACCTGATATAGTTGATCATTGAAGTTGTTATACAATTATAAGAATGGTATCTTCTTATTTGCAATCTAAATTAAGACCATGATCATATTAATTAAAGTGACAATTTATTTTTAGTATATTTACTTATATCCTGTAAATTTTAAATTTTGATAAAAATATCAAATTATTTTTTGATTAAAAGTAAAATATTTGGCTAAGTCATATATAGTATTTTGGTGCAGGATAAATGGCCATTGTTAAAAGTTGGATGAAATTTTTTGATAAATGATTGCCTCAATATGAGAAAGGGGTTAATAAATTTTTTGAATTTACTTTCGAACATATTGGTGAAGGAAAAACAGCTCATTGTTCATCTAAAAAATGTAACCACAATTTATTTAGGACATGTGAGTTTATTTATGTGTACCTGATCATACATGGGATAAATAAAAATAATAATTAGTGGTTTCATCATGGTGAGCGCTTATACGATTTTAATAAAGATATCATTAATGAGATTGCTTATGACAGCAGTGAAAGTGATAATGATGGCATGCATGATATGGTGTGTGATTTTAGACGTGCTAATGCAAATTTTGCTCAACAATTTGATGCTCAAATGAGTGATGATGAACCTATTAGAGTTAGCCCTAATGCTTTCAATGAAAAAATTGAAGAATCTACCAAAGTTAGTTCTACTACCCCAAATAAAGAAGCTGCTAAGTTTTATAGATTATTGCGGGATGTAGAACAACAACTATATCCTAGTTGTGAGAATTTTTTCAAGTTGTCATTTGTTGTTCAAATATTGAATTTGAAGTGTCTCTTTGGTTTTAATGCAAAAGCAATTGATGCTCTGTTTAAAATATTACCAAAAGCATTCCCTAAAGGTAAAAAGGTTTTTCACTTATTCTTTGAAAATAAGAAAATTGCTTAAAACTTGGGGCTTAAATATTTGAAGATTGATACTTGTGTAAATGATTGCATCCTCTATAAAAATAAATATGAGAATGCTTAATCTTGTCCAACTTGTGGTGAATCTAGATGAAAAAATTATGGACAAGATAGAAAGATTACTAATTAGCATGGTCTTAGAAAAATGATTGTGCAAAAAATTTTATGGTATTTCTCATTAACTCCATGCTTGTAAAGATTGTACATGTCACGAAAGATTGCTATAGAAATGAGGTGGCATGAGGAAAAACCTTGTAATGATGGGTTTATGGGACATCCAACAAATTCTTCAACTTGAAAAAGCTTTGACTCTATTACATCCATCCTTTACAACAGATTCACGTAATGTTAAACTTAGCCTAGCAAGTGATGGCCTTAACCTTTTCAAAAATATGAACACTTTTTATAGTGTATGGCCAGTTGTATTAATTCCTTATAATTTGCCACCATGGTTGTGCATGAAAAATCTTTATTTCATGATGCTACTACTCATTGCTAGTCCTAAATCTCTTGAAAATGATATCATATGTTTTTAGAGCCATTGGTAGATGAGTTAAAATAATGGTGGGAAAAAAGTGTGGAAACTTATGATGTATATTCAAAAAATAACTTAGACGCAGTTGTTTTATGGACCATAAATGATTTTCCTATTTATGCTATTCTATTAGTATGAAGCATCAAAGGCAAATTAGCATGCCTTATTTGTAATATGTGTATGTCATCCACAGGCTTCAAAATGGATGTAATACCTATTATCTAACTTATTATTGTTTCTTACCACTCAATTATTCATTGAGAAACAATGCTAAAGCCTTTGATGGTGCAAAAGAAAAGCAATGTGCACCAAAACAATTATCAAGGGATGTGTTTGAACAATATAGGTAATTTTATCTGGTAAATTTTTTTAATTTTTTAGCTATTTGATTTTAATATATTATTATATTCTTGCCATAATATTTTTTTAACTCTATGCTTGGTAAATCTTTTTGCCTAAACAAGTGACATTTGGTAAAACTCCAAGAAAAAAAAGCATAAAAAGCTTTTAGTACTTGGTAATTAGAAGAAAACGAGTATTTTTTTTAATTGCCTTATTGAAGAACGTTAAAATTGCAACATAATCTAAATGTCATACACGTTGAGAAAAATATTTGTGACAATGTTCTTAGGACTTTACTAAACATTAACGACAAAACAAAAGATAATATCAATACTCATTTTGATTTAGAATACATGGGTATATAACTTACACTTCATGCCACTCCAATAAGTGATGGTAGGTATGTGTTTCGCCCTGCATGTTATATAATGTCAACAGATGTAAAACAATCATTTTGTTAGTTCTTAATTAATTTAATAGTTTCAAACAACTAGTCTTTCAATATTTCTCGTTGCATGAATTTTAATGAATAAGGTTTTTAGAATGAAATGCCATGATTGTCATGTATTTTTACAATGGTATCTTCTTTTAGCCCTACATGGTTTGTTATGTAAAGAGATATCTGAAGTATTAATTGAGTTGCGTACTTATTTAAGAGCATTATGTGTTAAAAGCTTACATGTTAATGACTTAGAGCGACTTGAGCAATCAATTTCATTAACTTTATGTAAGTTAGAGAAGATATTTTTTTCTTTACTTTTTGACATAATGGTGCATTTAACAATTCACTTAGTAAATGAGACAAAACTGGCTAAACAAGTACAATTTTGGTGGATGTATCTTATTGAACAATTTTTAAATAAACTAAAATCATATGTTAGAAATAAGGCACATCCGAAAGGATCAATTACTGAAGCATATGTCATGCAAGAATACATGCATTTTGTTTGAGATATTTATGTGAAACCGATACTAGGTTGAATCGGATTGGAAGAAATTATGAAAGAAGTGTTGACTTTTCTCATACAAGGATAAATATTTTTTTTCAAGTTGGTAGGCCATTGCTTGGAAAAAAAAATGAAGAGTTAAGCTTGATTGAATGGGCTCAAGCTAGAATGCATGTTTTAGAAAATTGTGAAGAGATCATATAATTTGTTAAATAACTGATATAACTTTTGTAGGTAGTTATTATGTAATTTATTTATGATTTATATTTCTTTTCTAAATATCTACATGTAATTTATTTTTTATAAAATGTGAAGCATGCAAAAAGAAAAACTCAAAAGGAAGAATTCTAGAAATGTACATGAAAAATACTTAAAAGAATTTCATCAGTGGTTTAAGAAATATGTAAGGATTGAATATGTTTCTAAATATCATTTTTTAATGTCTAATTTTGGATATTTAATGATTATCATATATCACAAGTCACCCAATTGTATGATGAAAGAAGTGAATCGGTTAATGATCAATTACTAAATCTAGCTCATGGGTTTGATAAACGAGTTTTTTGCTATACTAGCTTCCTTATCAATGGTTGAAAGTTTAACAAAAAAGAGCAAGACTTGCAATTGAAATCATAAAATAGTGGAATTCTTGTGCAAGAGAATGAGAAAATAAGTAACTTAGATTATTTTAGTGTGTTAATAGACATCATATAATTAAATTATTCTAGAAAAACTAGTGCCATTTTATTTAAGAGTAACTGGTGGGATATGTATCATAAAAGAAGATAAAAAGAACACAAGTTTGGATTTCTTATAAACAATGTAACTTGTAAGTTAAAAACTAATGAACCATATGTTTTAGCTTCCCAAGCTAAACAAGTTTATAACATAAAAAATATTAAAGATACCAATTGGTTAGTTATGGTAAAGACAAAACTTCATGATTTGTATGATTTACCTTTTGAAAAAGTAAAAAATAAGCCATGCCGAAAAAATAAGGAGTTAGGTTTTAGATTTTATAAATCTAATGTGGAAGATGATGATAACAATACGATGTCTTTGGATATGCTTGAATTATCCAATATAAATGTTGAAGGAAGTCAATTGAATTTTGATATATTTAGTGTTGCAAAAAAAGATGATGAATTTGATCATGAGGAATTTATTTTTAGTGATGATGAGATAAATCTAACAAGCGAAGTTGAGGCTGAGGATGATGATGATGAATATAATAACTATTTATATAACCAAGATCATAAATTCACAATTATTTTTTTCAACTCCAATGAATTTAACAATAAAGAAAAAAAAATCTCTACTTCTTCTCCCAAGTTTTGTAGTCGTATGCATTATTTTATTATTTACAAAAGAATTGAAATAATAGCTTCTATCGAAACAAGCCAAGAAGGTCATAGAAATAAAAACAAAAGAGAAATGGATCCATTCAACAACA